ACGTCGAGGACAACCTTGACGCATACGCCCAATCGGCTGTCGATGCTGGTGCAGCGGTGTCGAAGAATGCGATGCTGAAGCAATTCAGGAGCCAGGTAGCCGGCATCTTCGACAAGCAGGAAGGCCTCGTAGAGCTCTTTGCGGACAATGGGTATCCCAGTGATCGGGGCGGATTGGTGTGGAACCTGTTGCCTTTCAGCCGGGGATCCGTCTCTGCTTCTGCCAACTCTGCCTTCGGCAACCCCCGTGTCGATCCTCGATACTTTTCTGCTTCATGGGACCTCGACGTGCAGATCCAGGCTGCCAGAGCCGTTCGACGCATTTTCCAGAAGCTTGGCGTACAAGAGAATATCCCAGGTTTCGACGCTGGCAACGGTGGTATCCCGGACGGCCCTCAACACGGCAACTACCGAAGGTGGAGGGATTTCGTGTTGAACAGGTTCAGCTCTGTTGCGCACCCCATGAGCACGTGCATGATGGCGCCCAGAGAAGATGGAGGTGTCGTGGACAACAACTTTAAGGTGTACAGCACTAGCAACGTCTTCGTGGCGGATGCGTCCGTGGTGCCCATGTCTATCTCTGCGCACCTGCAAAGCTTCCTCTATGGAGTGGCAGAGCTTGCTGCGGACAAGATCATGGGCCGCGCCTAGAGTGCTTCTTGCTTTCCCGACGCTCCTTCAGCGGTGGTTCCCCGATCACCTTTACTCCCCCGCCACTTCCTCAGGAACATTCCCATCATATTCGAGCACATGCCATGGACGATACTGCTTGCACCGCGCATCCGTCACCATCCAGACACTCAACACCCAGATACAAGACAGAACGGCTTCTCTCCTGTACCATACTCATCACGAGGCAGCTAGACTCTACAATCTTGAATCGACGCATTCACGTGATCGTGTTTAGACTTCTCATGCACAAGCGCAAACGCGGCAACCGTTGGATTGCCGACAGCCATCTGATGACCTTGCTGCATGCGTGCATGCGTGCGTGCGTGCTTGCGTGTGTCGCGTTCCCCGCATTCACGACCTCACGATTGTGACTGCGTGACTCATGTGCGTAGCTTTGTCATCGATGAGGCGCTCACCTCCCTTCAAGCTCCCTCCAGCCTGATTCTGCGCGCATCTCCTCCCTTCTGCGCTCGCATTGCCATCTTTGGCCGGTACTTCTCAACGACGGACGCTCCACGATGGCCAGCGGCGAGCGAGTCACGCTGACCTACACGCGCAGACCTTCCGGTCCCCTTCACGTTGACCTCTCACCTTTCACCCCTCCTGTGCGCGTGAATGATCCTTCCAGCTCCAAGCCACA